GTTCAGGTTCCACTACGTCACGGTAAAAGACAGTGTAGTTTCCTGTTAAATCATATCTTGGTGGTGAATTCAGGCGAACTAAACTGTTTCGACCTACACTAAAAAACATTTTAGAATTTAATTCATTTCAGTTTATTTATATAGCACCAATTAACAACAAACATTTCAATGCATATTAACATTAACATCCATTTTAAAATGCCAATGTTAGGATTTTGCAGCTTTTAACCATGACAGCAGGCAAATCTAGAAGATCTACACAAAAGATTTATTTTACAAAGAAAAACGCTGACAGGGCAGCAGCAAAACTTATTTTCCAAAACACACAGATGCATGAAGACAAGCCTAAAGCACAACAGGTAAGTGAAGGCATATAAAGGGGAGTTAACCAGTAAATGAGACATGAGGATCTGGTACATGGGAGGAGCTGGATAAGAACATGGAGGCAGGATAACACAGTGGGAAAACAAAGAAAACACTAAAAATAAAGAAATCAAAGGACAAAAATGAACTCAGATCATTACAGCCAATCAGTAAAGTTATCTCTCCAGAAAGGATYRTGTGTGAATGTTCACTCCATCACAGCCTCCTGTAGGAATATTTCACATGATTTTACACTTACATCATCTTAAACGCTGCATTATGATAATGAATATCTTTATTAATCCGACACACAACAACATGTGACCTCACCGAGCTAAACATTATTTCWTTGTGTTTTACTCTGAGTGTAAAAAGACTTCTTCCTGCAGCCCAGTGAGACCAAATGTTTTCACTTCAGTTCTTCATTAGAGCAGCAGTAATTAGAAAAGATAAATGCTTGTTTGTGTTCTGCTYCAACATTTAACTGAACAACGTAGAATTCAATTCCTTTCACATTGATTTGTGTGTGTTAATGATGAGAAAGCTGTGTGTATTTAGAATATATGGCTTTGTTGTCAGGATGCTCAGGATCTTAAAGTGAGGCCAGAAAATATTGCTTTTGTGTCTTTCCTTCCAGATTAAAGACTAATAAAATCAGTCCTGGAAACATTCATCACACCAGTAAAAACTCAACTGCAGTAAATAAATAAAACAATTTTTTAAATTCTCATCAAAGCAACGTGTTTTCCATTCTTCTTATTTTTAGCTGTCATTGTTTCTCACTTCCAATTTGTTCCTCTTTCCTTGAGTTTAAGAGGCTCCATTAAAACGCTCTTAAAAGTCGTTTATAACCAAGACTGTGCTGAGCTGCAGAAACTGAATCTAAACTGCTGTTAAATGTTGATCCTTAAACTTTCWGCCAACACTGACAGAAAATGTTCAAACTAAAAGAGTTTGTCAAGTTTMGAACAAAATAATAAAATGAGCACAGAGAGGAATGAKAGGTTTATTCAGGGGTGTGAAGTGCTGTCGACCATGAAGGCAAAATCATAAAGAAGTTCCATCTACCTTCTTTAGCTGAGCAGAAATAAAACCATTAGTTTAAAGCTGGAAAGTCCTGCAGACTTTTAAAGCAGCTTTTTTCTTTCTAGACCACAAGAAGTCTGTTTTCAGACTGATAACTTCAGMAACAGAGGCACATTTTATAAACACACATGAAAACACACACAGACCCAGGTGCTCTGGAGGATGTTGTTCAGCTTCACACACACCACAATGGATTCCCCACTTTTAAACCCTCTGGGTGTTCAAGATGTCGACACACAACTCTCCTCACCGCTTTCAACAAGTCTCTTCTCCTTAAAAAGCTGCTCTCCAGAGCAAAGCATGCTGGGACGTCATTCTCTTGTTCTGGTTGAACAGGAGGTGCAGATGATTGAATAAAAACACTCGGTCATGAAATAAAAGCTGGGTCACCCGACGGGCTGAGTTTCATTGAAGCTCCAACAACAAAACAGTTCTGAGGTTTTAATAAAAACATTCAGAAAATAAGGAGAAAATAAATCCAAACTTTAAAAAAAACAGGAACAAGTTTTGTGTTTTAATGAGGAAATTTCTGTTCTGTGCACATCCCTCACAGCCTCTGAGCTCCAACAAAAAATAAAATAAATAAATAAATAAATTCTGCCTCAGTGTTTCTTTTATCAGTCAGCGCTTGAAGTTTCACCAATATGTTTCTGGGTGAAAAAGAAAATCAGTAACCTGAGGGGGAGTCTGAGGGAACAGAACAGCAGAAGGTTAAAACAGGAGAAGACGACTCCTACAGGTGGGACACAGAGCACATTTTAAACATTAGGAACAAAGATGGATCWWGTTGAGATGTAAATATGAGAAACTTCACATTTWTAACAAAAGCAGCYCGCTGACATCAGAGACAGGAGTCACTGCAGGAGAAACTCAGCTCGAGTTAAAACAAGAAAAAACACAGAGGCTTTAAATTCTCAGAGCTGAGTGTGAAAAGTCTAATTAAATAAATGATAAATTAAACCTCGAGGATCAGAAGCGATTCTTCAGCMGGAATCAGAACAGGAAACATGGACACTAGTTGACAAACAGAGAAAAATGAACAGAATTTCTACCATAATGTGGACAATTTGACCTCKCAGCAGCAAAGATCAGCCTTTTTCTCTCAAAAATGGACACAAAGGACTTCTTGTTGCTCAAATTCAAACAGTTTCTGTAACAAACCTAATCAATACTTTTAAAGCCGCAGCTTTGCTCCAACAATAAACTGATAATCAGTTCTGAGTTGTTTGTGGAAGTGAAGTGAGAAAAGGTGACAGTTGTGTGACGGTGTAATGAAACTTCTCCGTAAAGGTTGGGCAGACATGTCAGCAGTGCACACACACACAAACACACACACACACACACACACACCTGCTGTTAGCATTAGAGCATCCACAAACACTGCAACACACACATCCCCAGAGTCGGTGCTACAGGTGAGGAATTCTTATTTTGGCCTTCAGCTGTGGCTCGTCTGCTGCTGAAGGTAAGATAACAGTGACACAGCAATCAGAAAGTGATGAATGAGCTGTGATCGGTGCTGAAAATTGCTCCTCGGAGGCTTCAGAAGTTTGTTCCAGAGACTCTGTTTATCCAGAGTG